GCGGGCGGAGACGCGGGCGCCGCGCGCGAGGAGAAACTTGACCATCGTTTCGTTGCCCCAGAGCGCCGCGGCGCAGAGCGGCGTCGTTCCATCTACATCAATGTCAACATCCCCCGCATGTTCATGTGCGCTCGAACCGCGTCCAGGCGCGTCAATGTCGGCGCCATTGTCGAGGAGGAATTCGACCTGTCATGCATGAGGACATGAGGAGAAGGATTGAGGCAGGCGAAGCGCACCATGGTCTTGGAGCCATTGGCCGCGGCCTCGGCGAACTGGACGTGGGCGTGCACGACGCCGCCGTCGCTCGACTCTTGGTTGACTTCTTCCATGTTAATTTGGCTCTGGCCGTTTAGAAACGCTAAGCTAAATCGAGGTGGCGGTTCGGAGCCAAGCAGTCGGCTTCGAGACCAACGAGAAGATCGACTTGGATCCCGTGGTCGCGTAGCAGCTGGACGCCCTTGCATGTCACGAACGTGCTTGGCTCCATGGCGCCGACGACGACGCGGGCGACGCCGGCCTCGATGCAGCTCTCGACACACGGCTTATTGCCCGAGAGGCGCACGCTGCACGGCTCCATCGTCGTGTAGACAGTTGACCCGCTCGCCTGCATCTGCAGCTTGAGCAGCGCGCATTGCTCCTACCAGTTACCATGAGGCGGCGAAAGGCCAGCGACGAATGGCTCACCGCATGCGTGTTGCCTGGCAACTCCCTCGAAAAGCCCGTCGCGAGGACGCGGCCGTCCTGGACGATGACGCAGCCGACGCAGAACGCACACTCGACCGGCGGCGACCGATGCGCTTCGGCGATCGCGAGGCGCATGTAGCGTTCGTCCTCGGTCATGTTCCTAATATTGAAGATTCAATATATATTCAAAATTTAATCGTGATTTTAATATTGATCTTCAATTTTTAATAATATGCTGTGGCTACCTAGCCCGCGTTGGGCCTCGAGGTCGCTGATGCGCCGTCGCGCTGCAGCATCATAACCGCATACTCCTGATTCCTCGCCCGGACTTGGTGCTCCAAAGACGCTTGTGGCCACCGCGTGGGCTTTACCATCGACTACGCGGCTCGCTTTGGCGGCAGCGAGAGCGGCCTCCAGCGTCCGCATCCGCGCTTCCAGCTCGGAAGCGAGTTGAAATCAACCATCGCGTCGCGCTCGGCCGTCACGTCACTCAGCCCATTTTGAGCCGTGATGGCTTCTTGGGCGACCGCTGCAAGGACGCATTTGGACTAAAACAGCTAGATCTGGGTGTATTTGGCAGCCGATGTCATCTCCATTTCGTGCTTTCGTCGACAGTGGGCAAGTGTTGCAATAGCCGCTGCAGCGAGACCATTGATAGCCACGTTCTCGTGTCGGGTGTGCGCCGGTCGTATCTTGGACACGGCAGCGGTCGAGGTCATCACTCTGTCGCGCTGCGCGCGCTCCTCGGTGCGGTGGATCTGGATCTTGGTATTGTGCAATGCAACCTTGAGGTCGGCACTGGTCTCTATTGCTGCCACGCGCTGAGCCCGATCAGCTTCGTGCATCGCAGCGACTTGGGCTCTGAGCTCGGTAATCGTAGTGTCGTTGGTAGCAATACGTCGCGTCTTTGGATGCAACTGCTGACTGCAGCGCCTTGCAAGCCTTTGACCCTCTCCAAACCCACCAGGATATATCTATCGATTCGCGAAATGGGCTACGACTAGACAATGGAAAGCTCGTGCAACAAGGACGCTGCATCCAAACACATTGCAGAACCGGAAACCTTTCACGTTGCCACACCCGCGCGGTACATGTAACCCATACAGAGACTGGTAGATCATGTCACGAATCCAAATGTACAAGTACTCGTCTTTCTCTTCAGTACCATCGAACGAAGCCGATATCGAAGCGCTTGCTCGCAAAGCCGCGCAGCATCTTTGCGTCACCTGACATGCCCGGTTGTATCCGGACATTATTATCCGGACAAGATCGACAGCACGGTGCGCGCTCATCGAGGCGGATCGACTTTTGAAGTTTTTCATGGAGTCTCGTGTTTCGTTCTAAATGTATAGAGCATGACGCAGGGAGTCCAAAAACCAAAGAATCGTGCTCGTAGCGCACCTACAGCGTGTGCTATGCGCAGTGGTAGTTGATAAATATTGATACATTGATACATCG